TGTCTTACTTTCTGGCCTCTGTGTTGTACCCTTTCTTCATGATGTGGTTTTTGGCAGTGTTTGTTATACATTTTAAACTTGAGCTGATACAGTAGTCATCTCTTTTCACTTTGGTTTCTTGTTTTATTTTTAGATCAGAAGCCCACCAAGTTTTTCTTCCTCTACAACCTCATGGGATTGGCCTGTCTCCTGTTCATAATCATCTTGTTACTATCTAATGTCTCTTTTTCTGAGGGCTGGCCATCACAGGTCTTGGAGGTGATTTTTTTCTGGAGCTGCTCCAGTACAGTGGGAGATCAATTCTCCTCCCATTTTGTATATTATACCTGTAGGCTCCCTTTGCCTCAGACTACTAGGCTGAACAGGTACTTCCTCAATGGTTTTCCTTCTCCTTCCACTCTCTAACTCATCCAGTTAAGGACACCATGCAACAATTCATTTACCCAACACAGTTAGGAGATTGGTGATTTGTCATAGATCTGTCCCATTTGAACAAACTTTGGTCATTTCTCCATTCAAGATGGAGGATCTTGTTTCACTCTGAAGTGGATATTCTCTAATTGGGAGATGGATATGGCCTGTTGTGTAGCTTTGTGCTTGACAACAATCAACACTGTCAACTAATTTCTCTCTGTTCAGGTGGGGGTGCAGTTCTGGACACCTGTTCCACTTCCACAGTCTAGTCTCTAGAGAAGCAATCTATAGATGAATAACATCCTCTGTTCACTGAACTTGCCAACATCTTCTAACCCATTGTCTGGTCTTCTTGTCATGATCCATTCAGACAATTCTACTTTATTTTTCTTCCATCAACTGACAGAGGCACTTGCTTCTGGGACCTCTGTTTCCTTGCTCTAGACTTTTTATTTGAGGCCCATGACTATCACATTCAGTTTTCAGCCTATCTTGCCCAGACCAGATCACCCACTGGGTATTTTCTGAATCCTCTGGTGTTTTCAGTGGATTCACTTCCACTAAGACTCCCATCAACACCTATCTTCCACATTTTTTAATCACCACTTTCAAACTGTACAGATCTGGCAGTAGATGATATGAGTCTGGATTGGTCCAATCGTTTTCTATATGCCTATTCTCCTCTGATTTCTTCCCATTTATACTCTTGCTGGTTATAGAATGGTTTTATACACAACCTTCCACTTCTTCTTTAGTCATTCTCTATTTCTTTCTTGGGTTCTTATAGATCTTTTCTGATCTCATCCAGTTCCTATTCTGATCAAGAACCTCTGGTTAGTTCTCTGTGCTCTTATATGTCTTCCAGTCAAATTGTTGGTCACATATTCTTTGTAACATCTTTCTCTTCAGATATATTCCATGAACTTTCAATGCTAAAATCCAGAGTTTGATTTCCCCATGGTGGACATAGCAGATAGTCTAATGTGGTTTGTTCTAGGAAAACAAATTCTTCAGATATATTTTCTTCTTAACCTCTAAATATCAACCTTCTCACTGGCTTGAGACTGGGGTAGCAAGGGTTATTCTGTTACTTCACCCTTGGTGCTGTCAATTTTTTACCATAAAGTATGGCCTGGAAGGTAAAATAAATATATCTGCTGCAGCAGTCTTGCAATATGAACAGTTATCCCTCACTAGATGCAGATTTTGGGAAAGAGATGTATTCCTTCTGAAGGAACACTGGCCAAGTGGTGGATTCTATTGTCTCCATAAATTCAAATAAGGTTGTTGTCAAACTAAAAAAAAAGATAAGAAGAGAAAATTAACATGTTGCCTTCTGTGAAAAGTTGAGAATGGCAACTGGAGGGAGAAGAAACTCAATGTGTGTGTGTCATAAATGTGTCAGGGATCACCCACATTACCACCTCCATGGTCACATTCAGGGGACATCATTGGTGAGAAGCAAGAAAAGCTGTGAAATGATGAATGTGATAGAACATGAAAAAAGTCAAAAAGTGTCTTCTCCCACAAAACATTAATAAGCCAAATGTGTTGTTACACTTAAAGAGTCAAAGTGAAGGAGAAATCAGGAAAAGAGGAACTCTATGGTAAGAAAATACAATGTCAGTTGCCACTGCCACATACTGGAGCAGTACAAGCTTGATACCACTAACTGTCCAAACATGACAAAGGAGACAATCAGGGTTGAAATGGTTGTAAAAAGAAGAAATGAAAGATACGGTGATTGGAGAAAATAATCGATCACTCTACCCCCAGGGCAGCCCAAGTGTTGAGGAGGAAGAAATGTTCTAGGAATAAAATTAGCCTCCCACTGTGATAAAGAGTTTTGGGAGGCCTCTAAGACAAAAATGTCAGAGCAACAGTTGTCAAAGGGAATAAGCAGGTGTGCAGGAAGGAATCATCTTCAACCTGCATCCCAAGGAGAACGCAAGCCCCCATTCAGCTGGCATACCTACCAGAAATGGTCTGGTTCTTAGTGTAGGGGATGGCCTCCACTACACTTTCAGGTAACCACCTCAAAACCACAGCTTTACACTGACTTGAAGGGTTCTCTGATGGTGTACATTGATTATCGTGTGAAACTATGAATACATTCATAATATATTCAATTGATTTATACCATTTTTGTGTACAAGTATAGATACTGTAGAGATGCTTAATAGATTTAATAGAGCTTTAAATTTTTTACCAAATACACTATAATTAATCTAACATGTACCACAAAAGCCAGTTTGGCATCTTGATGTGAATCCAAGAAAATGAGCCATTCCACAAAGGTTTGGGTTGTTTTGATTATACAAAAAGAAGATGTTTGGCACTATATTTGAGGTCTAGGTCACTGGACGAGACCCATGACCTCTCTCAGTACCATCAGAGCCAACATGGAGAAGTTAACTTGTAAATGTAAAGTAAAATGATGTAGCAATGAAACATACTTGAAACGTTCTAGATGTGGTTGTGAATGTGACGATTTAAGTGTAGTAATTAAGCTAAACTGTGGGTTCAGATTGGATGAGGGAAGAACTTATTCAAAGATATCCCAATCAATTTGACATACCAGCTGAACTGGAGATTTGTCAATTGATTATTGCATTGACAGTGGAACATAAATAAATGGGCACAATAATATAATTATCTTCATCATTAGTTTCAATGTTTTGTAAAACTAATAGTAAAGTCCAAAGATGCAATGTTGAACTTGAAGCAGGTGCACAATGCATTACAAGATGACTTTCCTAGTGATTCTCAAATGTCGATTTTACAATGACGAGCAATTATAAATAGAATAGTATAATGCCCAGTATGGTACCACCATAGTATAATCCATATAGATTTCATTATGTCATAGTTTCATTAATATTTAGTTTTTTCTCTGACATTTGAGAAAGTACATAAGATACTAATAGCTTATGTACTTTTAGCTATTAGTATCTCAACAGGAGAAAGCTTTTACAACTTGAAACACAAGAAACTTTTGGATAAATTATATTGTACATATTCCTGATCAGTCCAAGTTTCTTAAGTTTGGTATTATCAAACTGTACATTAATTCATTAACTATATCAATAAACTTTGATTACATCACAATTTCATACGCTGCTAGTGTGTGAAACTTGAAGTGTAATTAGTACACTAATAATTGATCAGTCAGGCTTAGCATTCGAAATTTCTATAAATATACCGTAGAATGTTTCACTTATGTGTTACTGATATCATTGGAAAGGTTATTTCTTCTATTTTACTTTAGTATCAAGAACTTTTTTCACACAGTACATCACATTTACTTCTGTGGTGGGTAGAACTAGATGTTTAATGTAAACATACAGTAAAACATTGCTTAAACACCAGATTGGTAAACTAATGGCAAATGATATTAACAATAATGAGAAACACTTTTAGAGATTTTGTATTTTAATAATTCAACTCACATTTTCAGTAGAATCAAATACATCATACAAGCCATTATAACAATGTTTTTCTTCAAAGGTAGAAAAGTTAGGTGGGCACAGCATGTTTGAGGAAGAAACTCTGATAATGGACTGATCCTGAAACATATAAGAAGCAAAAACTTTAATTTGTATAAATTTATATTTCATATTAGAATTTATGCACCTTTTATTTTTATATGTCAAAATTTTCTTCTACAAAAAATTAACTTCAGATAGATACTTCTCCACAGAGGAAACAGTTATTACCTCATACCACTGCCAAGATTTTTGCACTTGTCACAACTCTTGATGAAACTCTCGATCCTATACATATTATTGTGGTTTGCTCCAGTTTATGATATAATCATCAATAGAGTACATATAGCCCTCCACCAGTGGAAGCTCAACAAATCGTCCATGTGTATTAGCATTTCAACAAAGGCTCATTCTTGATGAAGCAAAAGAAAAATCATCAGAAATAGAGAGAAAGAGTGGGAGGTTCTGTGAAGAGGTGCATAGCTATCTGAAATATATTTTCATGTAATGAAAATGTTAATTTCAGAAATGTTATCCACTTCACTGCATAACAAACAGCTAGAATCCCATACAGAAAAGATGATGCACATAAAGAAGTATAAAAGATGAGCTTCTTCCTGAAATCCAACAAGAGAAAGGGAAAAACCAACGGAGCATGTCACTCACTATGGGAGGGGGGGTATTGTAGAGCGGCATCGTTTGGTGAGTGACTGCATCCTTCCCATAAAGGGAATACTCTTTATCCAATAAAGGTGATAGGGCAAAAGACACAGTACAAAACCTACTGTGTGTGTGTACAGTACTATAGAAATACTCAAGTGAAATACTTAACAAGTGATTGTTGTATTATTGCATTATGTTACTAGAACCTTCTAGATTTTTCTCAAGTATTATTATATCATATTATCTCTTAGTGTGTGGAAAGTACTAGGCCTCAATTGGGCTATCCAAAATATAGTTCAAGTAAGACAATAGATAGACAGTTATTTAGCTAGATAGATAGATAGCTTGAGCTAGATTGTTTGTTTGTGAATTTAGCCATAAAGAGCATATAGTGGCACTTTTAAAGTGAAATTATCACAGATTGTATTCTAAGAACAGAGTAGAGAAGAAGAATTTGTCTTGTCAACTGTGCTCTGAAGTAATTGAACAAACCTGTGTGGACTTTTGTACCCTGATTGTTCTGCATCTGGCTGCTTCTCACAACAGTAGTATGAATTTATGACAGTTGAACTACACAATGTCTGATTTGCAATGTTATGCAAACAAACCTGTGATAAACCATCTCTTCTAACGATAACCAAATTTAACTCTCGTGCTCTACTTAAATTAAAACAGTCGTGTATATCTAACATTGTTACTCTTGGAGGAAGCAAACAGATGCAAAAGAATCAGTGTACACCATGAAAGAAATGTTACTGTTGGAGGAAGTAATCAGATGTAGAACAGTTAGAGTACACCATGAGGGAACATGTTATTGTTGGAAGAAGTAATCAGATGTAGAACAGTTAGAGTACACCATGAGGGAACATGTTATTGTTGGAAGAAGTAATCAG